AAATAAATAAATAAATAAATAAATAAATAAATAAATAAATAAATAAATAAATAAATAATAGGATTGCAACTAGCACCAGGCCAGGAGTCATCAAATCAGCCAGTCACTTTGGTTGACTGGTTCTTGAGGATACATTCCATACATCCATTTTTGTCCTGTTTTCATCACACAACTTTGGGCTGAACAATATGAGAAAGCCCAAATAAATAAATAAATAAATAATAGGATTGCAACTAGCTTCACACCAGGAATCATCAAATCAGCCAGTCACTTTGGTTGACTGGTTCTTGAGGATACATTCCATACATCCATTTTTGTCCTGTTTTCATCACACAACTTTGGGCTCAACAATATTTAGTGAGAAAGCCCAGTACATATGCCCTATTTAAGTCTAACTAACTTTTAGCTTTGCATCACACAGACTCATGAAGATCTTCACTACTGATCTTAATGTCCAAGAAATTATAAAACTTAAGTCCAGGCCACTGTGTAATACAGATGAGCACCAACCTTGGACAAATTCACTTGTTCTAGACCAGTGGTTCTTAACCTTTGTTACTCGGATGTTTTTGAACTGCAACTCCCAGAAACCCCAGCCAGCACAGTTGGTGGTGAAGGCTTCTGGGAGTGGCAGTCCAAAACTCCTGAGTAACCCAAGGATAAGAACCAGTGTTCTAGCCTATATTGCTGTTCCTATGACAAAAGGCCACTGATACTTTGTGCAGAACACGGCCAAAGAGCCTGAAAAACCCACAACAACCATTAGATCCCAGCCGTGAAAGCCTTCGCGAAGTCTTACATTGTTGTTGATACATGTTGTCAAGATCCATCTGATTAGAGGCGACACTCTGAATGAAAGCATCATATTAGGGGGGGGGGGTGCTGAAATGCCATGTTTGGTTTCCACTCTGAATGAAAGCATCATATTAGGGGGTGTGCTGAAATGCTATGTTTGGTTTCGCTAAACGTCTCCACTTTGGTCTCATCTGTCCAGAGTTTCAGAATTTTTGTGGTTTGTCCAGATGCAACTTTGCAAACCTATGCTCTGCTGCCATGTTCTTTTTAGAGAGAGGAGGCTTTCTCCTGGTAACCCTTCCAAACAAACCATACTTGTTCAGCCTTTTTCTAATTGAAATTTTGTGAACTTTAACATTTCACATGCCAACTGAGGCTGTAGTCTGAGATGTAACTCTTAGGGTTTTTGAAATTTCTCTGAGCATTGCACAGTCTGACTTTGGGGTGAATTTGCTTGGACGTCCACTCCTGGGAAGATTGGCAACTGTCTTTAAGGTTTTTAACCTGTGAATAATCTTCCTCACTGTAGAATGATGGACTTTAAATTGCTTGGAAATGGCCTTATAGCCCTTCCCAGATTGATGGGCAGCAACAATTGCTTCTCTACAATCATTGCCGATGTGTTTTCTCCTTGGCATTGTGTTAACACACACCTGAATGCCCCATTTAATGACTGTTAAACAAATCATGACATGGTGTAATACGTCAAATGTTGTTCATCTGAGGTTGTATTTACCTAATTTTCAGACCTGCTAAGAACCAGCTGACTTTTATTATGTTCTGATACATAAAAATCATAGAATTCAAAGAGGGTGTTCTCTCTTTTTCACATGATTATAGTAGTTAAGTTAGGGAAAGCATGATCAGGGATATGCAGGACAGGTTTGAACCCCAGTTATTTCAAGCAGCTACCTTGGTAGTTTTCTTCAGATCTCTTAGGATTAGCAAGCTGGTGGTGGCATCCTTGTTGGATGCTTCAGAGTCTGCCTTTCATTGGGCTGATTTGGTGAGCCTCAAAAGTCATTCACCTTCAGAAATCCAAAACAGATAATTTACATAAGGGAATGGACACTAAAGTAGGACAATGTTCCATACACTTGCCCAGTATAAACCATGGTAGACTATTTGGTCAAGGCGGGATGTGCAAAGTATTTTATTTTCGCATTGGGATTGTAACCCCCTCTTACTAAATTTCAGTTCTGGAAGGTCACCTCTCAGGTGCTGAGTAGTGTAGGGATTAAGGGCTGGCAATTTGGAACTCATTCATTTTGCACAGATGCACTTCAACTGCTGCAGCATTGGAGTATGACACAGAGGAGATGAGGAAGGTGGCAAGGTGGTCTTCCCACAGATACCTGACAGTTTTGTGTCCTCTATTTGTTCCCTATTTGTTCACTTGCTGAAGGCTGTTTCTCTATTTATTTATTTCAGGTTTGGGCTTCCCAGCAAGCTAAGTGTGGACCCTATTGTGCAGCCACAGTTTTGCTTTTGGGGCAGCAAAGCATACTACACAAACTGCCTGGGTCCAGAAATTGGATCTTGGAGCATGGGCCTTGACTGAGTGGAGAAGAAAGAGAGGAATGCTTTGGGATGAGTTCTCGACTTTGTATCTCAGGGTGCAGAGAAACTATCCCTAGATATTTTGGTGGTCCACCTGGACTGTAATGACTTGACCCAAAGGAAGGGTGAGTTATTGATATTGCAGGAAGCAAAGGACTTCAAAGATCTGAAGGTGAGGTGGCCAGGAATTTAGAATTTTTTGGGGGGGGGGGATTCCGTGTCTAGTCACGCTGGCCACGTGACCACAGAAGATTGTCTTCGGACAAACGCTGGCTCTATGGGTTGGAAACAGAGATGAGCACTGCCCCCTAGAGTCAGACATGACTGGACAAATTGTCAAGGGGAACCTTTACCTTTACCTTACCTTATCCCACAACTTGTTTGAAGAGCAAAGTGTGACCCCTGGCACATTTTTGGATGAACACGGAAGTTGACTAGGCTGTGTTGGCTGGCTTGAGATCTGTTTTGGGGCATCTGGACACACGAGCATCTGGAATTGTATAGAAGTGAAGGGGTTCATTTGCAGCTTTAGGTCTTGAGACATTCTTACAGGACCTGAAGTGGGGCCTTACATCTGAGATTCTCAACTGGGTGTGGGACAAGGAGCTTACTCAAGGCTAGCTCTATTGCCTTGGTAGGTACTGTGGAATAGGTGGTGTTTTGCTGAGTTCCCAAGGAGCACTGGGGAATGCTAGCCCCTCCAATGTCATAGCATTGCAGATCCTGAAATTGCATTGCTGGGATGGGGGATGGATGGGGGGCCTGCCTTCCCAGGCTGCTACCCATCTAAGGTCATGAGGCTTGGGCAGGTGATGGCTGGGGTGTGTGTATTGTCACTCAGTCTTTGCAGGCTGGAAACAGGCCGCCTAAAAGAGCTTCGGACTTGCCCATGTCAGGTCCTCTCTGCAGGAGTGGGAGGTTACAGTTTAAATGTTCAATAAAATCGTAGTCCTGTTTAAACTTCATCATCTGAGTCTGGGGCAAGGTTCAGCTCTGCAAACATAAAGAATTGTTTGGGCATGGGTTCTTTGTCCCCCCCCCCCAATATATGGATTGAGATGAGTGATGCTGGTAAGATGCTGGTGCATCATCATGCATCCAGGCAGGGCGCAGGGACATAGTGTCTTAGATAAGGCAGCCTTGCCATGATCCTGATCTCTTTGTCCATAAGGCACTCAACCCACCTGCTCACACTGGCAAGTCTAATGCAAGACTTATTATTGTTTTCTTTAGGGTTACATAGGAATTTTTGGCCTGTCCCACCTGACTGGCATATTGAACAAATGGGATGTTTTTGCCTATCTCTCACTGATTGTTTTGGTGAGTTCCCATCCGGGCACCTGGGAATATTAACCCATCCAACATCACAGCACTTTGGATTCTGTTTTTTTTTGGGGGGGGTAGGGATGGGGGATGGGTGGCGAACCTGTCCAGCTTGCAACCAACCTAAGGTCATGAGGATTGCGTAGGCAACAGCCTGGGTGTGGGGAGCCACCTAGTCTTTGCTGTCTGGAAATAGGCTGTCCGGATCAGACAGACAGCATGGATCTGGGGCTTGGAATTTGCCCATTTAAGGTCAGGAGCAGAGGTCCAGTGGGACCCCTGGCTCCTACAGTAGGCCCCTTTGCAGGAAGTGGGAGGTTGCAGTTTAAACATTCAGTAAAGCTGTGGCTCTAGTTAAACACCATCACACGCATCCCCTCTCTTTATTCCAGGCTGGGGAGGCAAGGAGGCAGCACAGAATCAATTATTGTTCTAAAGAAGCCCCACAATTGCAGAGTCTGAGCATTTCACAACCGTTTTAGTAGTCAGGCAAAATTCTGGAAACAAGATGCTTACTTCAAGTAGTGCTGTGCTAGTACATCTTAAAACCAGCACACCAGAATTAGGTTGTTAAGAGTCAGAATGGTTATGAATTATAAAGTGACACTGAAGATGTCAGCTATGAATGAAAGCAAAAATTCATCAGCTGGTTAATAAGATATTAATCATAAGACAAAAGAAGAGATAACATATTTGGCTGGAATCATGAGCAGGAGAGATGAAAAGAAATAAATGGATAAGAAAATTAAATCATAGTGAATGATGTTCTAGGCATGTAAGAAACAGAAGAAGAAAAAGCTGTGAGACTAGCACGATCGTTTTGATGTTTAAAAAAGAGACAGAATAACCTAAGAGAATTCAGTGTGCTCTGAGAGCATCAAAGGCAGTCAGCAAAGCAGATGGAAAAATGAAATGGTGGCCTTTACAGGAAGGTGCAGTGGGATGTCTTGTTTGGTGCAAAGATGTTGGATTCCGGGGGTGGGTGGGTTGGGTTACTGATGTCTATTTTTAATATGCACCAGGCACACAGGACCTGTTTCTCACATGCAGTGCTGCAAATGCTTAAAGTCTGAAGCAGAAAACACAACATCGATTCCATTTTGAATGAAATGTAGAACAACCATGTTTTAAACCCAGTATTAAAAGGAAAATTTTAATTAACGGATATGAAGCTGGCAACATTTACATAGACGCTCTATATCCAGAAGTACAGAGATTAAAAATGATGGGTGGTGGACAAGCATGAGAAAAGGCCAAAGATAAGCTGAGGGTGCATTCTAAAGGACATGTTAACAGAAAACAAAAGAGCAAAATAAAAATATGTTTTAATAAAAGCCTGTCTTTCTGGATTCCCCTGCCACTTAGGTAAACAGAAAACTGCCTTCTATTGAGTCAGACCATTGGTCTAGTATTGTCAACTCTGATTGACAGCAGGATTTCAGACAGGATAGTTTCTGGATCTTATCTGGAACTGAACCTATGGCCATGCTCTATTACCGAGCTACAGTCCCGGCCCAACAATGGCTGTTGTATACCCTGATGATCTTCCAACAACATACTAACTGATAGAAGTAACTGGGTGCAACTGAGCTTACTAGTAAAGACTAGAGAGGACCTCCTCAGGTTTCCTCGACTGTTCTTTACCTGCTCTGACATACAGTATGTTGACTTTCCTTCAACCTTTTCATTGCTATTCTTAAAAGTTGCTGATATCACTTCCTTCCTTCCCACATCTCTCTCCTGTCCCTCAAGGAGAAGATTTCTTGCCTTTATTCTCTAGAGGTAGAAAGGGCAGCCATGGTTCCTCACATTCCCAACACAGTTAACCAGAAGTAGGAGTTCTATCGCATTTCCTATCCCAAGTGTTTCTCTCCAATAAACACAAGCTTTCTTATTTTCTTAGAAAGAGTTGTGGACATGACGTCAAAGGGAAGTGTGCTCTGACAATGATTCCAAGTCTCAAAGGCCTGCATCCACAAGTCAACATTGCTCCAGTATAGCCATGTCTGGGTTCTCTAACACCAATTGGGTCCAAAATTGCTTTGGTTCCAAAATCAGATGAGATTGGCATGCTTAGGATGTTATGGCAGCTTAATTTGGCCGAAGGTTGACTCACTAAACAGCCACTAAACAGAAGAATGGCTCAGCACAGGAGGGGCAAAGGCTCAGGACCACGATCAGCAGTGTTCCTTCATTTGAAAGATATTTGATGACCAAGATGTATTATTTTTGGACAGAGAATATAGGTGTTTTGAGAGAGGGGTCAGGGAGGCCATACATGTGCATATAGAAAATCCCTCACTCAACAGAGGTGGAGGCCTTAGATAAAATCTGTCTCCTGTTTATATCTTGCTGCCCTTTCATCCATTCCCGGAAAGACCACTGTTAACAACTGTTAACAACACATGACAGTGGGTGCAGAAGGACTGCAGAAGTGGGATTATCCCTCACCCCCAGTCCTTTGTCCTTTTAACAAGCCTATTTAGACCAGGGGGAAGTGAAACCAAAGTGGAGGATATATCAGGGCTCTCCTACCAATTCTCATCAGACAGAAGAAGCTACTTGGATGAGTAGTGAAACATTTTTTCTTTGAAGGATGAGGTTTTGAAATCATGCCTGTCCAGAAACAAACCTGTGCTGGTCAACACACAAGGTTTGAGGCTTTTGTAGCCATCGGAGACTACAATGGCCATGTGGGCTTAGGAGTAAAATGCTTCCAGGTTGTCCATCATGCCAGTCCAGTGAGGTTACTGGGGAAACAAGAGTGGCAAGCCCCACACCGTGCCCTGCAAGGTGATGGGCCGCTGTGGGTCCGTCCTGATGTGTCTCATCCCTGCGCCCTGTGGGACTAGAATTATGTCTGCGCCAATTCCCAAGAAACTCCTTATGATGGCTGGGACTGATGATTGTTACACCTCCACCAGGGGCTGCATGGCCACCCTGGGCAACTTCGCTAAGGCCACTTTTGATGCCATCTCTAAGACCTACATTTATCTGATCCCTGATCTCTGGAAGGAAACTGTGTTTACCAGATCTCCTTACCAGGAGTTTACTGGCCATTTGGCCAAGACCCATGCAACCCGGGTGTCTGTGTAGAGAGCTCAGGCTGCTGCTGTGGTGACTACCTAAAAGAGGCTGTACATTCAATAAAGTGACATGACCAAGTCAAATTTATTAAATATATATATTTTTGGTGTTCTGACCCCAAATGTAAAACTATAACTGGGCAGGAGAATTTGAGGTCAAATGTAAGTCCAAGGTCAGGCCCTTAAAGTCAGGGGAGTCAGCATATATGAGGCAAGCAGGCAAGGCCTACAAGATCCAACTGTAGTCATTGTTGTAGCAGCTCCTCTAGCTTCATTCTGAGGAGATGCTACCAGAGCCTCACACAAGGTCACAGTTGCTATGTATATCAAAGACCTGGTGGTGAAGAGCAGGGATGGGATTTTAGGAACTAAAAGTTTCATAATTCTCCATTCTGGGAGTTTTAACAGATAAACAAACATCTAGACACAGATCATCTGTGAGGAAGTCCTCAACTGGAAGGCTCTGAGGCTTAGCTAGGCCTTGTTCCACCCAAGCTTCCTGTTTCTGCCTGACTGCTAGCTGAAAGCTTTTCTTCTGAACAGGAAGGAAGCTAGGTGGAGCTAGGCCTAGCTAAACCTCAGAGTCTTCCAGTTGAGGCCTTTCTCCCAGGTGAGCCACATTTAGGTGTCTGTAAGAAGTAGAACTCCTAGATGGGAGCTGTAGTCCCCCAAACCCAAAAAACCTATCCTAGTGAAAAGACCACCACACATGGTCAGTGCAGAGCAGCAAGTGTCATTTTCCCTATTGCTCCATTCCACTCTTGAGTATCTAAGTAGTTATCAAATGGGTTTGCAAAGGTACAAGAGCCCACTGGAGAAGAAGGCTGGCAACCTCAGGATACTACAGGTCATGCTGTAGGCCAGTCATAGTCTGCATTAAAAGTACGGGATACTGCTATCTCCAAATCTGCTGGAGTCAAGACAGACACAGGGAGAGTAAAAAAAAAAGTAGCTGCAATACATTGCCTCTGGATCCAGAACCTCACTGGATGACTCTTCTGTAGCTCTTTTCTCCCACTATTATGGCTCTTCTGCTTCCCACAGTTGAGGGACTCCAACTGTTGAAGAAACAAAGGTGGTTGTCACTGAGACAAGACTTAGTTGCCTTTGGGTTGAAATTCCTTTCTTCCTGTAATCAGAGGAAGGCAGAAAGGGATCCTGAGTGTTCAGTCAGCAGTGGCAATCAATGGAATGGAATGACTGATATTTACCAACAGGAATCTTACCTGCATATAGGGGTTCACGGGCACCAACACCCATCCATTTCTGCACAGTCTCTCATTCTGCATCCTGAGTAGGAAACAATGCCATTTGCAATTGGAACCAATATAGTTTCAGGTATGGGGTCCTCCAATCCCTGCAAAGACAAGTCTAAGCAGTCTATTCTTCTTGCATGTGATTCAAAGCAGAACTGTTGTGCAATGTTCTGCCAGTTTGTGCTGAATGCTTTCCTGCCATGATTTCAAACCCCAGAATATTGCCTGGTGTGTACACAGCATGATGTTGAAGTGTCATTGTTACACGCCTATCATTTATGGGACAGACTCCTTGAAAAAGGGTAATGCTCCTGTTCATGCATGCAGTGATTTCTGCATGTGATTCAAAGCAGAACTGTTGTGCAATGTTCTGCCAGTTTGTGCTGAATGCTTTCCTGCCATGATTTCAAACCCCAGAATATTGCCTGGTGTGTACACAGCATGATGTTGAAGTGTCATTGTTACACGCCTATCATTTATGGGACAGACTCCTTGAAAAAGGGTAATGCTCCTGTTCATGCATGCAGTGATTTCTTGCAAGGCTGGGACAGACTCCTTGAAAAAGGGTAATGCTGCTGTTCATGCAAGGCTTGTTTGAGTGTTATGTTCCCTTGTGACTATGTAGGCTGAGATGAAAGACAGTACTTCCAGGATCTGTTAATGTCAAGGGAAATACTTTGTATTATTGTTCGTACCCATATAAACATTACACCATTGTAGGGATGAGACCAAGACCTGAGGGACCATAAGATCTCACCAAGTGCCCCAGAGCTTCCCATTTGTTGCCCCTGTTTGACATTTTGCCCTGCGCTTGGTGATCATGCCATTGTATATTATCTTGCATGTGCCTCCAATTCACTGATGGAGAGGACCTAGTGCCAAGTCCTAACTTTTGGATAATACGAAATTGGGAAACCCCTTCTTTCCAGTTAAGAACATTGTATATCTTTAAAATAAGTAAAACCTCAGCCAGTGTTATATTAAAAGCATTACGTATATTATCCATCTAAAATCACCTACCCAAACATCTGATCATGACTAACCATTGCTGTAGTACAGAATTTGGCCACTTGTCTTGTAATATGAAGGGTATTGTCAGAGAGTAGCAACTGTACATAACCCTCCTATGATCTCCCAGGAGATTTACAGATAATAGGAACTAAAAGCTCCATACATAAATCCCGATAGCAAGTACAATAAAGAAGAACATGACTAACTGATTTGACTTTCTATAAGTGCAAATTTCTACACCTGGAGGGGGGACCGAATGTTACAGTTACAAGTAATACAACGAGTGAGAAGAGTCTTAGAATTGTTGTAGAATCACAAGCTGAATATGAGCCAACACTACAGTGAGGCTGCAAAAAAGGCAAATGTTATTTCAGATTGCATTAACAGAAGTATAGTTTCCAAATCCTGTGTGGTACTAGTTTCCCTGTATCTGGTACTAGTTAGGCCTTGTCTTGAGCATTGTTCCCAATTCTGGACATTGCACTTTGAGAGGTTTATAGGAGGGTAACAAGGATGACCAGGGAACTGGAAACCAAATCCTATGAGGAAAGACTGAAAGAACTGGGCATGTTTAACCTCAAGAAAAGAAGACTGAGGGGAGATATGATAGCACTTTTCAAACACCTGAACGGCTGTCATACAGAGGAGGGGCAGGATATGTTCCTGATCATCCCAGAGGGCGGGATATGTAATAATGGGCTCAAGCTACAAAAGGCCAGATTTTGGCTCAATATCAGGAAAAGCATCTTAACTAGACATGGGCTATTCATATTCGTATCTTGAGGGATACAAATACGAATATTGACACCACAGATGCCAGTGGAAACCAAGCCATTCCCCTGGATTCCACCAGTCCATTTACCACTCTCTGTATGGCATGCAGGGCTGTCATCAGTCACGTAAATGCCAATAGTGGAATTAGCCTGCCTGGCATTTCCCTGCCTCTCCACACAGCCGGCCACTCAGCAGCTGAGCAAGGAGACATGTCATCCCACCTCCTTGCCAGAGTGGTTAGCTGCACAGAGTGGCAGTGAAGCGCCAGCCAGGCTACTTCCATGAATGACGCTATGTGACTGACAATGGCTACACACGTCGCACGTAGAGCAGTAAGTGGACAGGTTCTGGGGGAAGGGTTAGGTTTCTTCTGGCAACTGTGGTGCTGATATTAATATTTGTATCCCTCAGGATACGAACATGAATATCTCATGTCTAATCTTAATTGTTAGAGCAGTATGACACTGGAACCAATTACCTCAGGAAGGGGGCATTTAAGAGAAAATTGGACAACCATCTGTCAGATCTGCTTTGATTTGGATTCCTGCATTGAGGATTCCTGCATTATAGGCCCATTCCAACTCCATGCTAAGTTGAGTGAGGACTGGTTGATCTTACATTAGGCTAGCTGAGGAGTGGCTGAATCCCAATCACCCCCTAGACTAGGGATTTTGGAAATTTTGGGTTTTCTCTTGCTTTGACCTAACTTTGTACCAGCAGGGGGACTGCCTCCCTGAACTGGAGAAGGTTTGGATCCAGCATAACTCAGTTGCTCCTTCATCTCACCCCTTCTTTGTCTTTTTTTCTTTTCTGCTGCCTTCCAGCAGTTGTGTTGGCAGATCTTCTACTGGGAGATCTCTTGGATCAGGCAGCATAAGAGGCCTCTGTCCATTCCAGACCGACAGTAGCTATTATATAACTTTGAGGTAATAAATAAGTGTGTGGCATCATGCCAATTCTGATTTATGGCAACTCTTTCCAGGGTTTTCTAGGTAGAGAATACTCAGAAGTGGTTTATCATTCTCTTCTTCTGGGGGCATCCTGGGACTGTGCAGGTTGTCCAAGATCATTTTGTGTTGTACATTGGGGGAATTTAACTCCCGTTTGTTAGCTCTACAGCCAGATGCCTCACTCACTCAGCTATCCAGCCACATTAAGATTGCACTTTTATCTGGTATCCCAACATGCTCTAGCCAGGGTAACCATAGTTTGGGATTGCACAATTAAAGCAAAAAAGAAAAAGAGGGGAAAATCAGACTTTTATTAAGACGTCTATTGGAGAAAGCTGAGCAATGCTGACAATTATCTACTGTCATCACTATGATTTAGTAATAAGACTATTGAGTCAAGTGCTAAAAACAGTGTAATTTTCAAAGCACAAAATTATTTCCAGTTTCTAAACAACTTAATAATAGATTTTAAAGAGCAAGACTTTCATTTTCAAAGAAAATACACAGGCAATGAATTCTTAAAGGGCTTCCTGATTCTACTTTCTACCAACTAAAGGGTCATCTCTTTGCTAAACTGTGTCCTTCTCCAGCTTATGATAAACTGTGTTCTTGTTTGGAACAGTAGTAAAGCAAAATGTAGACAGTGATGACCAGAAAATTTGATTTCATAAGACCTGTATTTCAGCAATATCTGCTGCACTTTTGCCACCCACATCTTGGGTGTTCTTGTCCTTGCTATATATATTTCACTTTTTATAATCCTGCCTTCTGTGGATATCGGGATCTAATTTCTGATTATTTGACCTGGTGCAGATAACCGACCAATCAAACTGACTGATTGATTGGTAGTATTATAATCTCAATATCCCGAGAGCTATGCTTAAGCCAAGCCATTTACACAATAAAAATTAAAGACAGCTCCATCCATTGGATTTACAGACTAAAAAACAGATTAATTGATTTACTGTATTAGAATCTCAATTTCCAGCCAACTATAATCAAGAAAGGCCCCAATGCAC